CTCAATGGTTTAAGTAAAGCCACTGATCATTTCACATATGTCACATTAGCAGTTCTCACCCTCCCTGAGAAAGGGAGAAATTCATACTTATTTGCCTTTGAAAGTGCTTAAAAATATATACACTACATACATACATACATACATACATACATACATACATACATACATATAGATTTCTATTCATTTATAGCCTCATCGTGAAGACAACTAATTTGACAAGTTCGATGGAAGCAAGGCTCTTTGACAAGGATATATTCAGACAAGGATATATTCAAAATATTAATCTTATTAATGCTTTTCATATTGTCATATTCATATGATCGCTGTCATTAACTCTCTGAATGGGCACAGGGTTTGCTATGTTGACAAAATCCATTACAGCATGGAGATATTACTTAAATACTTAATACTTAAATAATACTACAATTTCTTGTAATCATGATAGAAGATGCAAATGTAGATAAATATAGCAAGATTAACAGCATCACATTTAGGCAGTAAGATGATAAGGATTTTGTTTCTTTTCTTTATTTGTGAAATTGTTTGCTGGCTAATGGGCTTCCCTTAAGACAAGAGATCAAAGAGACAACAACACACAGAAAATCAGTCAAAGAGGTATCAGTGATTCTGACCAACATGACAGAGACTTAACAAGCTCCTTCCTGTCTTGTAGCCAATTCCCCAGCTGGAAATGGGTCAAAGTAACTCAGAATGTAGCAAGATGAAGCAAAAGTCACAATGAAAGAAACCCTTACGTGCACATACTAATGCGACACTTATCTTACCCGGACAGGAAATGTCTACCTTTACCATTGCCGCACATGTCATTTTACTTGATTATGACACAGCTGTTATATTCTAATATCAGTCCAATTATAGTATGTGACTGTTATTCAGGTCTATTATGTTTAATCGTTGTGAGGGATGACATTGCTGGGTCATGAAATGACCCATTTTTCACCACTTATAACTGTGAGGTGCCACAGCTTTCCCTATGACCCAAATAGTAAAACACAACCGTATAATGCCCTACAAATTCAAATCTGGGTCATACATACTAACTCTATAACTTTCAGCAGTATGTAATTTCTCAAAGTCATCCTGGATATTAGTGTCTGGTAATATTATCAACGATACCACTCATGACAAAAGAAAACGTTCAATGAGCCTGACATCTAAATGAAGTCGCACTATACAGCAACCCTTAATTAGGTCTACCCTGGCTGTATCACGGCAGCAGTGGTCTCTAATGAGAATTTGTCCCTGCAGTGTTTACCAGGTGTGTGTAATATGTGTGTGGGGAGCAGGGGGGGGATTAACCGCTGAATCTGTCCTTTGAAGTGAACATATAGCAGTGAAAATATATAGGTCAGTGAGGTTTGGAAGATCAAGAGATCAAATCCAAAGACCATAACATTTCAACAACTACAGCAGAGACCAGCATGTGCCAACCCTGCTCCTGTGTGGTTTTGTGTATTTAAAAGACAATACACCTCTGATTATTTTAGTTTAGTTAACTACATCATAAACACAGTATGTGATCTGTGATGCTGTTCATCATGGGTGTCTATAATCCATCTGTTTGCAGGCAGAGGATAAGCAACTCAATAAAAACTACACGTGCCATTACCAATATTAACTGACTCTTATCAGTGGTCAAACACTAAGTGAGCCTATGGTGAAATCGTTTAAGTTTTCAGGCCGATGAGGCTTACGACTGGATGGAGACCTGTGGGTGACTGAGATCCTGATATCACAATATGGGTCAGTGAAGTGGGAGAAAAAGATGGATCAGGGTAGCTTTTTATCTATTACCACAGAATGGCTGTGTGGATCTCATGCCTATATGTATTATGTTGATACTCAGTGCAAAGGCAGAATGCATTTGCACATGTTGCTACCTGCATTTGGGAGGCACTGTTAGGTTTTCCCTTTTATCCAGTTAATTAATCTAACTTCAACACTAAACACCATGTGTGCAGACAGGAAAGAGAGATACTCAGGATAGAAATGCATGACCTGAATACAACACTTCACTGATTTACAGAATAGACATATAGTATGACTCAGTGCAGTCCATTAGACCATATTCGTGCCCAACATGCACACTAATGTTTAAACAGGTTGCCACGTGTCACTCTACATGCACACCACGTGTTCTGTCACTCATTAATTTTGCTGACTTCTTTAGATAAACATCTTATTTTTTTTACTGACAATCATTTCTTTTTTGTTTACATTAAGAGATTTAAAATAACATTCAATTTAAATTAGGAATAGCTTAAAAGATGGAGTTGCGTTATTTCCTGAAATTCTCCAAACAAAATAAGGTTAACATCAATGCATAAGTTGTTTTCATTACATTCATATAAGAACTACAAAAGGCTAAAATCAACATGGACAACCACAGACATAACGGACAACCACAGTCATAATGGACAACCACAGACATAATGGACAACCACAGTCATAATGGACAACCAGTCATAACGGACAACCACAGACATAATGGACAACCACAGTCATAATGGACAACCAGACATAATGGACAACCAGTCATAACGGACAACCACAGACATAATGGACAACCACAGTCATAATGGACAACCACAGACATAACGGACAACCACAGTCATAATGGACAACCACATAACGGACAACCACAGACATAATGGACAACCAGTCATAACGGACAACCACAGACATAATGGACAACCACAGTCATAATGGACAACCACAGACATAATGGACAACCACAGTCATAATGGACAACCACAGTCATAATGGACAACCAGTCATAACGGACAACCACAGACATAATGGACAACCACAGTCATAATGGACAACCACAGACATAACGGAAAACCACAGTCATAATGGACAACCACATAACGGACAACCACAGACATAATGGACAACCAGTCATAACGGACAACCACAGACATAATGGACAACCACAGTCATAATGGACAACCACATAACGGACAACCACAGACATAATGGACAACCAGTCATAACGGACAACCACAGACATAACGGACAACCACAGTCATAATGGACAACCACAGACATAACGGACAACCACAGACATAATGGACAACCACAGTCATAACGGACAACCACAGACATAACGGACACCCACAGTCATAACGGACAACCACAGACATAACCGACAACCAGTCATAATGGACAACCAGTCATAATGGACAATCACATAACGGACAACCAGACATAATGGACAACCACAGACATAATGGACAACCAGTCATAATGGACAACCACAGTCATAACGGACAACCACATAACAGACAACCACAGACATAATGGACAACCAGTCATAACGGACAACCACAGACATAACGGACAACCACAGTCATAATGGACAACCACACAATGGACAACCAGTCATAACGGACACCCACATAACGGACACCCACAGTCATAATGGACAACCACACAATGGACAACCACATAACGGACAACCACAGACATAACGGACAACCACAGTCATAATGGACAACCACACAATGGACAACCACATAACGGACAACCAGACATAATGGACAACCACAGACATAATGGACAACTACAGACATAATGAACAACCACAGACATAACGGACAACCACAGACATAATGGACAACCACAGACATAACGGACAACAACAGACATACCGGACAACCACAGACATAATAGACAACCAGTCATAACGGACACCCACAGACATAATGAACAACCACAGACATAACGGACACCCACAGACATAATGGACAACCACAGACATAATGGACAACCACAGACATAACGGACAACCACATAATAGACAACCAGTCATAATGGACAACCACAGACATAATGGACAACCACAGACATAACGGACAACCACAGACATAACGGACAACCACAGACATAATGGACAACCAGTCATAACGGACAACCACAGACATAACGGACAACCACAGTCATAATGGACAACCACACAATGGACAACCAGTCATAACGGACACCCACAGTCATAATGGACAACCACACAATGGACAACCACATAACGGACAACCACAGACATAACGGACAACCACAGTCATAATGGACAACCACACAATGGACAACCACATAACGGACAACCAGACATAATGGACAACCACAGACATAATGGACAACTACAGACATAACGGACAACCAAAAAAAAACGGCAAACCACAGACATAATGGACAACCACAGACATAACGGACAACAACAGACATAACGGACAACCACAGACATAATAGACAACCAGTCATAACGGACACCCACAGACATAATGAACAACCACAGACATAACGGACACCCACAGACATAATGGACAACCACAGACATAATGGACAACCACAGACATAACGGACAATCACATAATAGACAACCAGTCATAATGGACAACCACAGACATAATGGACAACCACAGACATAACGGACAACCACAGACATAACGGACAACCACAGACATAATGGACAACCACAGACATAATGGACAACCACAGACATAACGGACAACCACATAATAGACAACCAGTCATAACGGACAACCACAGACATAACGGACAACCACATAATAGACAACCAGTCATAATGGACAACCACAGACATAACGGACAACCACAGACATAATGGACAACCACAGACATAATGGACAACCACATAATAGACAACCAGTCATAATGGACAACCACAGACATAATGGACAACCACAGACATAACGGACAACCACATAATAGACAACCAGTCATAACGGACAACAACAGACATAACGGACAACCACATAATAGACAACCAGTCATAATGGACAACCACAGACATAATGGACAACCACAGACATAACGGACAACCACATAATAGACAACCAGTCATAATGGACAACCACAGACATAACGGACAACCACAGACATAATGGACAACCACATAATGGACAACCACAGAACAGATGAGAAAAGAAATGTGTGACGTAATCACAGTATGCATGACGTCAACTATCTGCGCCCCGAAGGAGGAAGCGTGATGGCGGTCGCTCAACCAAAGCAAGAGAAAGAGGGCGACGATTGCTCTTTGCTGCCTTTAGTTCATGACATTATAAAATGGTAAGATTCCTCATGGTCATATTGGTGTTCGCTCTCTATTCACGGCTCCGTGAACGCATCATTACTTCTCGTAAACAATCACTCCGATGGAGTTGCTAGGCTTGTTGTTAGCTAAAGCTAACAGCTAGGCTAACTACAAAAAGGTACATGTCCAAAATAATAATAAAACGTTTTCCCCGTCTTCACCTTACTCTCTTTAAGCATGGACAAGGACAGCCAGGATGTCCACCAAGAACTGGCCAAGCTGAAGACAAAGATCCAGGAGGCCCGGGAGCAGATAGCCAACATGCCCGGGATAGACAGCAGTCCGCTGGAGCAGCAGCAGCAGCTGGCGACGCTGCGGGAGCAGGTCCGCACCAAGAACCAGCTGCTGCAGAAATACAAAAGTCTGTGCATGTTTGACGCCCCAAAAGCATCATGAAACTGAAGACTGGATTAGTGCACTGACTGGAGGAAGCATATACAGGTGGAGGAAGGACTGTTTCATCCTCACCTGGGGAGCAGATACATGTGGAGGATGGAGGTTTAAATGGACAAGCACCTGTCTTTGGACAATGGCCCCCTTTTTGTTCTTGTTTTTTGCTTTGAGAGAATGTAAACTTGGTAATGTAGTTTGTATTAAATGTAGTGTTTCAGGGTATAATATCTTGTAATATCCTTATTTTGTAATAAAATTAACTGATGAAGAACTGAGTGGCTTATAGCCTTTTTAATTTGCCTAATATTCATGCGTATTCATTTTGGCTAAGCCTGTGGCCTTCATCATTAATTATACATCTTTTTCACACAAGCTACTGCAGAGCGATCATTCATTATGTGTGTTGCTTTTAGACTTGAGGGGTTAAGGTTATTCCGAATCTAATCCTTCAATAGTGGATTAAAGTAACCATGCACATTTAAGAGCTGGTGGCAGAAAGGGCTGAGGTTGTTGAATGTGAGTAAAAGTGCTGTGTGGAGCATGTTCAGGGTCCCTAATGTGTCCTTAATTTACTATGTTGCAGTTTCAACTTATCTGCCAGGAAGTGATAGGATGAGCCATCAGTCAACATGATGTATTTTTGTGGGACAAATGGATACTTTCCATTAGAGGGAACTGTGTGCAGTGTTTAATGTGACTTCATTGAGATTTGCTTGAAAGAAAGGAGAAGAGGAAGACAGACTATGAAAGTAACAAGTGGTTTTATTTTCTCTTTTATGCAAAAGTGGACGTAGACATTATAAATACACATTCAGAATCAAATTTGTTCATAATGCAACATTCAAGTTCCAGTTTTTTGAAGAAAAGAAAAAGAAAAATAGCTAAATGTAAACATTTTTTCCTCATGAGCCATTCTGGGCAAGCTAATGTAGAGGCAGATTTTACAGCATTGTCTGAGCATCTCTACTGCATCACTACACGGGGTCTCTGAGAAGAACCACTTCCCCCCATGTGTCACTGTCGCCTCAGAGGCTAAGTCTACTTTGTTTTCCCGGGCTGATGTGTGCCCTGAACGCAGGGTGGTTTGTCTCCTCCTCAGCACTGGAAAGTCTCTTGCAAGCAGGCAAAGAAAAAAAGTGTCAGTGTCAGCATATGGTGCAGCCTTTGTCTTTGGTCTGGCTGCCTCCTACAGCTTTCTCCTTTATGTACATCAAGTCACTGTGCACGCTGGGTCTCCGCGCAAACGGCGCCACAACCCCGTACGCGTTCCCATCTTTACACTTCTTGCTCCTGAAGGACTTTCTGTGAAGAACCTCGCTGCACTGCAGGGAAACTTTGCAGTGCCGATCGGGGCTCATTTCGTTCGGCAGCTTGGCCATGGTAAAGAGAGTCTGAAACATTTGGTCTACGTTGGTGTTCTTCTTTGCTGAGATTTCAAAGTAAGCGCAGTGCTCGTCTCCGCCGACCAGCCGCTCGATCTCGTCCTCCTGCACCTCACGATAAAAGTCTTTGTCACACTTGTTGCCGCAGATGACCAGCGGGACGTCCACGTTCACCTTGGTTTTGTTTCGCAGGCAGGACTTGGTCTCATAAATCTGGTGCTTCAGGCGCTGCACCTCCTGGAAGGAGTCTCTGTTATCCAGGCTGAATACCAAGATAAACACATCACCTGGAAGACACAAGAGAAGACAGGTTGAGTGCCAAATAATAACCTTTTAATAGCCAGAGAACTTTGTAAAGAAGTCAAACAGTTAGGAGTTTGGGGTTATTTTAATGCTCAACTCACCGGTAAGAATTGAAAGTCTCCTCATTGCAGGGAAGGGATGATTTCCAGATGTATCCAAAATGTCAAGCTGGTAAACGTCTCCCCTGATGCTGTAGAGTTTCCTATGGAAGTCCTCAATAGTGGGTGTATACTGGTCATCAAACCTCTCGTTCAGAAACCGAGAGATGATGGCTGTCTTCCCAACTTTAGTGGAGCCCAGGATCACCATCCTGTGGCAATTCTTAGCCGGTATGTCGAACTCGTTCTCGGATGGTGACATTTTCTTAATCATGCTTGCTGTAGCTGCACCCGGATGTCGATGGTGCTTTAGCAAGAGATGCTTTTTATATCCTTTCCAGTGATGAGAGGAGGTCTAACCTCGTTGTGTCTCTGAAGCCAGAGGAGGAGCAGGCTGGGAATTTATTGGGGAAGTTTGCCGCGCCTCCTCCATGCGTCATGCGTCACGCTCCAGCTTGGGGAGCTGGAGCAAGACCCGAAATTATTACTATGGCTGTTTGTGTGCGTCAGCCCAGTCCACCCCTCATTTACAGAAAACGGGGAAGAAATTGACTTGTTTTCAAATAAGACTGCTTAATTTGTTAATCATTTCCCAATATTTCCACGCGCAATTGCCACAAATTAGCTGTCTATCAAATTTGACATTTTTACAATCAGAAAATGACTAGCACGGTATGCATACGATTGCTTGTGTGCATCATATTAATATAGACTTTTAATTCATTAGACAAATGATTCTCACATTCACCGCTTGTGTGCGTGCACCAAAGCAGCCTTTACTTTGTTTTGTCGCTATAAAAGTACAGTCACCTTCAGCCACAGTCAGATTTCTTGCGAACATCGGCTTCGTGTTTCGTCAATCATTAGGAAACTGACTGTCCTTCAGGAGAAAGCAACTGGACTATGTGGGGTTAGGAGAAGGGAGGTGGCGCAGCGGTGCACACAAGACATCTTTTATTGTTATTGTCCTGTATGTACTTTTCTTGGTTTTAAATGTATTTTACTGCTTTTATTAATTTAATATCGTCATGTTTTTTTTATAAGATTGTAATTACTTTACAATATATAGACAAAACTTAACACCCAACAACACATATTCACTCTACAGATCAAATAAACAAGCTCAACCTCAGTATCTTTTTATCTGATCAACTTAAAGGACATATGTTAAATATAAATAAACATACAAATACGTCTTATATAACATAAATACCTTTCCTATCTATCGGTACGCCCATCTTTCATCCATCACCAACTGGAACTTCAATAACAAAACAATCCTTTAGGTTTCAAACACTCAGTTGTTACATTCTAGACAGAATTATTTTTGCACCTGTCTTACTTTCTAACGAAGAAACAAAACACATTTTATTATTTATATTTTTCATGTCCATTATTGGCAAATTGTTTGTGTATATTTGTATTTTTATCCGTCGTCTGTCAAGCACTTTGAAATGCCCTAACCTGTATGAAGGGTGTTATACAAATTTAATTTAATTTGATATCAAATAGCCTAAGGTTATACTCTTTCTATGATCATTATACTGTATGTCACAGTCCTCATAGTAGTAAAACAACAATAGGGAAGTAAATAAGCCTACATTTTCCTTTATTCAAGGTAAAAAGCTTCATTATTGTATTAAAATGTTTTTTTCAAAAGTGATGGCCAAAAGAGCTTCATAAAAACATTGTTACAACAATAAATATAATATAAACAAAGTAAACAGGCTATGACAACTGTCACATGGTATACAAAATAATTGTCCATTCAAGATGAATAAATATGAGTTTCAGTTTCATCTAAAAAGTTAATAAATTCAGAGGAAGTGGCAGTCCTTGAGAATGTTTAGGGTTAAAAAAGATATTTCATTCCCCATCCATCCAAAAATACTAGCTCATCATCTCTGCTATAGGCGACAATGTACACAATGTCACAATGACAAAAAACTAACTGAAGAACAGCTGGGTGTCACTGGTGCTTAGAAGCCATCGAATCCAATTTGTATTGACTTTCTCCCATGTGTTAATTGAAGTACCCCACAGACAGTCTAAAGATAGAGCTCTCTGTTTGTGACTCAAACTCATCCTCTCAGCCACCTTAAGCACTTATCACCTTTTACTTATCTTTTCACCTGTGAATCCTTGCAGACAGAGAAAATTACTTCTTAAAGAGACCGTATATGATTCATGTGCTGTCAAGTGTCAGCATCGACTATAATAGCTAATCAATATTATTATTAATGTATTATTTCTGAAACTTTTGCCCATGAGTTTCATATTATTTCCTGCATGTGCTAATGTTTTATGGGCTTTATTTTTATGTGTACTTTACAAACTATACAGAAGAAAAATAGATAATACATATATGTAGATTTTATCCATCACATGTCCTTTTAAAGGGCATATGAAGATCATAAACCAACAATGGAAAGGCTATGATTATCATAAAACTGTACCTCCTTTAAATCATTATTTTTTTTATTTAAGATGACCTGTGGCATTCAATGTCCATTTTGACAGCTGTTGGTGCTGGATTGCTGTCAGTGTGCCAAGATTCCCTGAGTTTACAAATCTGCATCATCACTAGACTAATTTGAAGCAAGACAGCTGTCAGCAAAGTTCAGAAGGTTGACATTTAAATGATTCATTGCTCGCTGTCTCCATATATCTCCTACCCTCTATGCTCTAACTATGCTTAAAAAAAAATATATATATTATTATTATTATTAATAATAATAATAATAATAATAATAACTATTATTATTATATCTGACACACTATCCACAACAAGTCTAATAAAAAGTTTTTGTACTTACCTTAATTTCATATGAAACCTAAAACTTGCCAACGCTGATGACCTTTTTTAGTCTTCTATGGGGTATTGGGGGTGAAATCAGATAGGTGTACTTAAGCCTGGTTGTTCATGCGATGGGTTTGTGTAACCAGGGTGGAGTGGACCACTGCTACACCCTTGACTATTGGTCAGTAATTAAACCAGTGTGTTCCCAACGCTGCTTACAACAGGACACGTGCAGAATGGCTTGTTCAGCAAGGCACTGCTATAACACTGCCCCGCACAAAAATATAATGGAGGGAATATCATGCATAATCTCGTCCCCAGGGAAACACATACTTACTAACTGTTTCTCTGTGTGTTTTAGATAGCTGTTGTCATGAGATAATAATGATTAAGTTGCTCTGTATCTAGCATATACCCAGAGAGTTTATACAATGAATTCAAAAATGTCCAATAATCAACTTAATATGGCTGATTCAAAAGCATGGTTTTTGGATTTGACAAATGATTCGGTTTCTTGGTAACAGCTGACATAGAACAGGTCATGGCAAAAACAGAGAGAAACATCAACATGTTCACTCTGTTGAACCTCAATGACAAATGCACAGACCCTGGCTGCTCACCTGAGAACCAGTTCAGGGTCAGCCAATCCAAGAAAACACAAACATCCAGTACGGTATAATTTGTCTCT